CCTATATGATTCCATTTATATGAAATTTTAGAAAAGGCAAAACTAAAGTGATAGAAATCAGATCAGACTTTGCCAGAGACCAGAATGGGAATCAGGGTGTGACTCCCAAAGAAACAGAACTAATCTTTTACTTATTGATTTTAGAGGAAGAGAGAAATATTGACTTGTTGTTGCACTTATCTATGCATCCACTGGTCAATTTTTATGTGTCCTGACCAGGGATCAAACCCACAACCTTGGAGCATCAGGACAATGCTCTAACTAAATGAGCTACTCAGCCAGGGCCTGTATAAGTAAACTTTTAATGGTAATGGAAATGTTATATATCATGAGTGTAGTGGGAATTACATTGTTAGTTAGGTACGTTTGTCAAAGGTCTTAGAATTGCACATTTAAAATCTGTAGGTGTTAATTGTAACTAAATTAGATCTAACTGAAGTTAACCCCCAAAAAGTACAGCCTATAGAAAATTCCTCTGATGTGAGAACAAAAATAAAACACTTATGTATTTTTGTCTCCCTTGACATATGATAAAAAAAAATACAATCCCAAAACCAAAAGATAGGAGACATGATTTTCCTAGTAATAAAGGTGACTAAATGGTCACAAGGTAACATTAAGAATTATAATCATTATGTTGTATACCTGAAACTAATACAATGTTGTATGTCAATTATATCACATTTTTTAAGAAATGGGGTGTTGAGGGTTTTTTTACAACCACAAAGTAATGATGAATAAGAAAGCATTTCAAAGGATAACACCCCCTTACCCAGGTTCATGTGGCTCAGTTGCTTGGAGCATTGTCCTGTGAACAGAAAGGTCACAGGTTAATTCTGGTCAGGGCACATGTCTAGGTTACGGGTTCAGTCCCCAGTCTGCACATGCAGGAGAGGCAACCAATGTCTCTCTCTTGCATTGCTGTTTCTCTCTCTCTCTCTCTCTCTCTCTCTCTCTCTCTCTCTCTCTCTCTCTCTCTTCCCCACCTCACCTCCCTTCCCTCTTTTCTAAAATCAATAAGCAAGTCCTTGAGTGAGGATTAAAAAAAAAGATAACCCTTCCGAAAAATTAAGAATTGCAGGTAGATAATATGACATTAAATTATGAGCACCATACTAACATTTCAGAGTCCAACTTTTCTCCCATATTGTGTACTCTTATGCTGTTTATTGATTTAGTATTTTCCTGTAGGTTTTGTTCAAATAAATTATAATTAAATGCCTTTCAAATAAATCCCAACAGAATAAATAATATCCGTGTTTCTATAAAACTTAATGATGTACCCCTTGGACTCAAGCTGAAAATTAGACCTTGTACATTCATTTCATGGATGTCTAGTTAAGCTAATCAATTTGGTCATAAAAAACAGTTAGTAAGTGCAAACCCGGCACATATGCATGGGTAGAAACTGAAATTTCATGTGTTTCCCTTTGAAAGAACAGATTGCTGACTATCATAAATACCTTACTTCAGAGGGATTAAGTTATGTGCCAGGCAAAATCATAATTTAGACTATCTTGGTACACAATTGTTTATTTTGTCATCTGAAACAGATGGCAAGGAGTGATGCTGTATACTTAATGAACCTCAGACATCTGCAAAATTAATTCACTACACTGTATCCCAGGATAATCTATTGGAATTGGGTGGTCAACAAACAGAATGTAGAGTACCAATGTGGTATAGTGGAAAGAAACCAGGAATAAGGCAACCAGGGTTATCCCTCTATCCCCTGCTATTCCCATCCACCACAACTATGTAACATAATTATATTCTTTACCGAGAAAAAAGGGGGGTGGTGTTGTCGGTAGTGTGTCACTCTGCTCAGACTGCCATAACAAAATACCACAGACCAGATGGCTTAAACGACAGAAATTAATTTTCTCACAATTCTGGAGGCGAAAAGTCCAAGATCAAGGTGTCAGCAGATTTCATTTCTCCTGAGGCCTCTTACCCTTGATTCAAAGGGGGGCATCTTTTCTCTGTGTCCTCACACGGCCTTCCCCCTGGTTCTGAGTGTCTTAATCTCTCTTTGGATAAAGATACCAGTCATATTGGATTAGTGTCATACCCTATGACCTCACATAACATTAATTACCTTTTTCAAGACCCTATTTTCAAATACCATCAACATATAAATTTTTTTGGTGGGGGGACACACAATTCAGTCCATTACATGAAGTTTACTGACACCCTAAGATTCTACAACCCTCAACTATTATCTCTCCTTGCTTCTTTTCCTATTAAGAATACCATCCAGGAATTCCCAGGAGGAAAAAAGGGAGGGTTAATAGAACACTCTGTTCAACAGTTTAGAAAGGCCCACACAAGACAAGAGGAGTTAAGGTGACAGAGTAAATCATGAACCCTCATTTAAATTTTGATTCTCCACCATTGATTATGGCAGAGACCATAATCCAGGCAGAAACCATCAATTATGGTGGAGAGTCATGATATTTGTATAGCAGGCTAGACCCACAGGCCAATATTCAGGCAGGTCTGATTGTTATTCATTTAATACAGGGGGAAAAATTCTTTCTTATACACATTAAGCCAAACCAATGCAGAATGCCAGAGTTATTCTAGTGTGGAGCAAACTATTATCATTAAATTATTAAAAATTAGCAATGGCTAAAAATGCAAGGTGCCAGTAGTCCTTGGGGAAAAAATATAATAGTCTTTAAGTGAAATCACATGTTGTGTTTTTCCTCTCTTTTTCATGAGCTGCAATATTTCCACTATGGTTTGAATGAATTAATCACTTGATAATTTTGAAAGCTGCTGAATCAACACATCCCTGTCCACTTCCCTTTCTCAACTTCAGTAAGATGCTATAGGTGTCTGTGATAACCAGGACAGTCTCTGGAGCTGTTGGCCTTGCCAGCAGTAACAAGTATCTCATTCTTTCAACCTAGTGATGAACTGAGAGCTAGAGATGGCCCTTCCCTGAACTTTGTCCCTCCAAGCCTTCCAACAGTTTTATAACCCTCTTACTGTTGGCAAATTCTACAGTAACTTCTCTTTTCCTGACTAATACAACTGAACAAAATAATATTTAAAAGTTCTAAAGACAAGTGACAATCCATGTAAAGTTAGTATTTCTTTCATTAGAAGTTACAGAAAATAAATCAAGATAGTATAAGAAAAGAAGAAAAATGAGGAAAAGAAGAAAAAGAGGACTATGTTATGATAACTCAGGCTTACTTACAGATCTCAGGAACAAATGCATTCAGTCCTAAGAAAGTACTTGTACAAATCATTTGTTAGGCTAGCAGAAACCAAGGCAGTATTCTCTTGTAGTGTCTTGTTCCTTTGCCAAAAAAGTTTGGATTGTTTTGTTTGTTTGCTTGTTTGTTTGTTTGTTTGGCTACCCTGTCTAAATGGTAGAGAGAGCATGGCGAATTTGACTCCCAAGTTTTTCATCTTCATCACTCAAGATGCTAAGTTCAAAATCTCTCAAGTTCAAACCCATATTCTTCAAAGAGAAAATCTGATTAGTCCAGCTTGAGTTGGCTCTTCTTCCCAAGCATGGCATAGTAGTGGAGACATGTACAAACAACACTAGCATGGCTGCTTGAACCACCTTGAGATTGGTGTGGAAAGTTTCCAGAAAAAGTAGATAATCAAAGAAAACAATAGTGGCAGGTGTCCACTACAATTGGGAACATTTTTGCAATACATACACATATGGACTGGGCACTGTCCAGGTCTACCACATATAAGTGTGCAGGCTACTCAGCATCTGGCTGAGGGTTAAATAGAGGATAAAAATCTTACAAGTCCAATGTCCAGAGTTCCTCTGGGACAGTTTCAATTGATTATTCTCTTTTTTCTTAATATGATCCATACTTTCCTGATTATTTGCAAGTCTCATTATTTTATTGTTGTTGTTGGAAACAGGACATTTTAATTAACACAAGTGGCAACTCTAGAAATCAGATTTCTCCCTATCCTCCCCAGGGTTTACTGCTGTTGCTTTTTTTTGTTGTTGTCATTTGTTCATTAGTATAAGAGCTTTTCTGTGCTATTTCTGTAATATCTGTATTCTTTGTCATGTGTAACCACTAAATACCTATCTAGTTATTTTAATGGTCAGCAAATAATAGGACAGAGATTCCTTTACTGTTTCAACCAAGAACTATGCTACCCTTTGCTGAAGCTGTGTGTGTGCTGGGGCATGCCATCAATTCTCTGACAGTCAGTTTACAGCTCTGCCCTGGCCTTCAGTGCAGCCAGAGGTAAAGCAATAGGGCCATCTCAGTGTCTCCTGGGCATGTGCACAAAGCTGCATATATGTGAGGCCTTCCAGATTTCCAAAAATACGTTGCTGCTTTTGAAGCTCTCTTTGGACATCTCATTCTCCAGATTTTCCTTATAGGTTTTTGATTTAGCTTTTTACTTACCCCAACAGTTATTGATACCACAGCCACTACAATGGTAAACAACTGTAACTGATTAGTTTTGATAAATGCCCTGAGGATAGGACAATTGACACTAAAGTGAGTTCTGAGTCAAGTCAGAAACAAACAAACTCCAAACAACAGTATGATGGTTACCAGAGGGAAAGAGGGGTTGGGGTATTACTGAACAGCAAGTGGGGCCCTGCTGCCTGCCTCCACCTTCTAAGTAAAATTCCAGAGGCAGATGTCTGGTGAAAAAGGAAAGGAGTCTTTATTCAAAAACTACATAATTTTGGAATAACAGCTTTCCACATGAATTAGTCACTTAAACCTAGCAACTAAGGCTAAAATCTTTAATTCTTGAGTCTCCCTATCATTCCTCCATTAGTTTTTAATTAACTAAATCTTATTTCTATAAGATTAGTTGACAAACTGAAACTACATAAAATATAAAAGCTACACAATTTGGGGAGAAATGCAGGCTTCTGGCCTCAGAGACTATCCCCTCTAGAACACCCACAGAAAAATAACCCTGCCACTCTCTGCCTTGCCAGACCAGTCCTTCTCCCATTTAAAAATGCTGTCCTTTGGCAAATGCAGGTGGCTACAGCACAATCATCCAGGCATTCCAGAGGAAGAGCAAGAGAGCAAGCTTCTGTCCACCTTTGCTTTAAATCTTCTGGCCCATAATTCCCTGTGCTCTGGAGGCAACCAGCTTTTCAGCCAATCCCGTCATAGATGCACAGATTTGCACATTCGCCCTCCCACCTCTGTGTCTCTGCCCAAGGTAGGAAGATCGGTAATGTGCTGCGTTACCCTATTTACCATTGCCTCAGGCAGCCTCCTCCTAAGGGCCCTCTCTCACTCCTCCCCAGTGATCTGGTCAGATCTATCTATATCAGGGGGAGGATGGGAAGGGTGAAGGGGGTCAATATAAATACAGTGTAGGACAGGGGTGTCAAACTCAATTTCACCGGGGGTCACATCAGCCTCATAGCTGCCTTCAAAGGGCCGGATGTAGAGCTCCTTGCCCCTAGTTAAGGAGTACTTACATTTATGTAGTCCTAAAATTACATTTGGCCCTTTGAAGGCAACTGCAAGGCTGATGTGGTCCCCAGTGAAGATAAGTTTGACACCCCTAGTGTAGGACAAAAGTAGATTTACAGTTGTGAGTATGTAAAATAGTGCTTATTCTTATATTATTATTTATTGTATTACTACCCACATGAACAACTGTAAACCTACTTTTGCCCTACCCTGTATGGTGATGAAAGCAGACTAGACTTAGCTGGTATGCATACACTATAATATACTGATGATGTATTATAGAACCGTACACCTGCCCTGGCTGGTATGGTTCAGTTGATTGGGTGTTATCCTGCAAACCAGAATGTCATGGGTTTTATTCCTGGTCAGGGCATGTGTCTGGGTTGCAACTTTGGTCCCCAGCTGAGGCGCATACAAAAGGCAACCAATGGATGTTTCTCATATCAATGTTTCTCCCTCTGTCTCTCCCTCCCTTCCTCTCACTCTAAAATCAATAAATGTAAAACAAGAATTGTACCCCTGAAACTTATATAATGTCATTAACCTGTGTCACCCCAATAAATTTAATTTAGAAAAAAAAAGTCCTGAAAATAGGGCTTTTCCAGGGAGTTTCCAGCAAGGTCAAATAGTAACAATTCTTTAAGGATGGAACTTTTTTGGGTACTCCAAACCTGTTCTACACCTTCAAGTGGGTGCTGGATGTTGCTTTTCATAGCCCTATGATTTCCAACTAGTTTCTTTTTAAGGCTATTTTAGGGCTGAAATTGGAAAAGTTGGCATTCATGCTGCCTGTCACTACCAGAACCAATAAGTAGAGCAAGGGTTAAATCTTTATGGGCCCTTTATCCAGATGCCAGCAATCTAAGAAAACTGCAGGTTGTATACACTCAAAAAACATCTTAACCTCTCATCTTGAGCCAATCCTTTTTATAAGAAGAAAGGGTCAGTAATGGTTTTGGAAAAATGGTTAATTGGATAAGAATTGCAGTTTGAGGCAATTTTCTTAGAACTATTTCTTTATCTGTTGATCAATTATTTATTTGTGTCACAGAGGTTCCCTCCTTGGAACACAGTGGCTCAGATACCACTTCCATTGCTTGCAGACCCCTGGGGAACAAGGTTGAATTGTTTGTGGAGCCCCCAGAGTCACATGGTCATGCATTCCAGTTTCTGAAACAACAGCTTTCCACCTGTATTAATCACCTGAGCCTATTAACTATGACTGAAGCTAAAATCTTCACTTCATCTTAGCCAAAAGCCTGAGAAGCAATGAAGCTAAAATCTTTAACTCTTGAGTTCCCCCATCAGAGCTAGGGAAGAGAGGAATGAAAATAGTGTTAGTTAAAAATACCACAAATATTGCTATTCTAACTGAGATTCAGTTGTTTTTCTTGAATCAATGCTTCTTAATTGGTGAAAGTCTTTGATTAATTTCCAGAGTTCGGGAAAAAAAGTGATTATTTGCAATATTTGCCAGTGTTCTTGGTGTTTTTATGGAGGAGCAGGTCTTTGAAGGTCTCTACTCCACTGTTCTAGAAGTGACTCCCATCATTTGCTTTATATCTAGGCTTGACTCTTCACCAGTTGTGAGATGCTGGGCTGATGTGGACTCCAGCCAGCAGTGTCAACGGTGTTGTGGATGCAACAAACAAATTCACATGGACTACAGAAGTCCTGCAGAGAAAAAGGGACAACACGGCCACTCGCTGAGAGAGTACCCTGACCCTTGCCTGGACAAGCTTTTATTGGCTTTTTAATAGCATACTCCAAGGAAGGTTCTCATTCATTATGCTCGGGTTTGCTTTAGGTGGTTACTTTTTACAGATAACAAAGGAAAGGACGTTACTGATTACTTCTTATAGATTAACAAGGAAAAAATATTGCAAATGCCAGGGAATGATAAGAGTGACTGACCTGGTTACACTCAGTCCTTAGGAGAATTAGCACAGACTTCAGGAAGTTACTTTAAAGATATGCAGTAAACATTTTCTGCTTCAGTTCAGGGTGAGGGAGTTTTAGCAAGAGCAAGCCTCAAAGCAGCCTAGGTATAATGCAGGCTTGGTTTCCCACAGGAAAGCCAATGGGTTTGGCTTCCTGTGTGCCAACTCGCTCCTGTCGGTTTTCTGATAGGGCTGGGCTACCTTTGCCACGTCAAGTGGACCGGTTCCCTATACTGGGTGATTATAGAAATTCTTTTCTTGAGAATAATAAATGAGATTAATCATAAACTACTTAGCATAATAGTGAGTGTTGAAAAGTGAGTGTTCAGGAGAGGATCCTGGGGAAATGGCATAGTAGGAATCTGTTTCCCAACCTAAACAATAATTGCAATGGCAGAATCTGCCTGATGTAACTATCTTGGAACTCCAGTCTACTGGCAACTTCCTGGAAAAGGTGTAATGGAAAATTGAAGCTAATATTGGTCAATTTCAGTTCTTAGGACATTAGCAGCTGCCTACCCTCTTTGGAGGTAATTTGGTTCAGATTAGGTCAAGAGGGCACTGGCCAGGTGGCTTAGTTGGTTGGAGCATTGTCCCATGCACCAAAAGATTGCAAGTTCAATTACTGGTGAGAGCAAGTACCTAGATTGTGGGTTCAATCCCTGGTCTTGGCCCTATGAGAGTCAACCAATTGATGTTTCTGTTTCACATCGTTTCTCTTTCATATCAATGTTTCTCTCCCCACTCCCCCTTCTCTCTAAATTCAACACACTCAGATGAGGATAAAAAATAAATAAATAAAATAGATTAGGTCATGATGGAATTAGTGTACTCTCATAAAAAGATGAAGATGAAGATAATGAACATGCACCACACAGAGGAAAAGGACATGTGAGGATACAGCAAAAAGGCAACCACCTGCAAGCCACAGATGGTGCCTTCACCAAGGATCCCACCATGCTGGCACCCCGATCTTGGCCTTTCCAGACTCTAGAATTCTGGGAAATAAATGCCTGTTGTTTAAGCTACCCAGTCTACAGTATTCAGTTATTGCAGCCTCAGCTAGAACATGTACCCATATTTTCTTTTTGCAATTCAATTCCTGGGGTTTGTTAAGTGAATCTCTCCTTAATATGTAACCATGAACAAGATCCCTGTGATGCACATCTTCAGGGGACACTAATTCATATGGATCACAACATGAATGGCACCCCCAGGAGTGGTGCAATACAATAGCTATATATTTCTTCTGATTTTTAAAAAGATTTTCTTTATTTACTTTCAGAGAACAGGGAAGGTAGGGAGAAAGAGGGAGAGAAACATCAATGTGTGGTTGCTGCTTGCGCGTCCCCAGCTGGGGACCTGGTCCACAGCCCAGGCATGTGCCCTGACTGGGAATCAAACTGGTGACTTCTTTTCGCAGGCTGTCACTCAATCCACTGAGCTACGCCAGCCAGGACTTTTTCTTCTGATTTTAAAGATGTATCTTTACATTAGATCATTGACCTAGGTGGAATTTACTATGTGTGTGTTGGAGGTAAGGATTTCATCTTCGCTTTCTGTATGGAGCTATCCCATTGCTATTCATTATACATTTCATCCTTTCTCCACAAATTTTTAAATTTATTTTAAAATTATAGTTGACATAGAGTATTATAGAAGTTTCAGGTGTACAACATAGTGAGTAGGCATTTATTCTCCACTAATTTTTAATGCCTGCCTACCTCTGGGTTCTCTAGTCTGTCCCACTAAATAGTTTTTCGTCAATGTTTAATTACTACTGATTGTTAAGTGTACTGTTTTTCAGGACCAGTTCTTTGTGGTAGAGATAGCTATTTGCTCACCAAGTCCAGTTGTTTTTTTCCTCTACACACTTAGACTAAAATTTTTCAGTATTACTTGAAGCACAACTAATGAAATGTTGGTGGGAAGTGGTATTTGCCACTTCCACATCTGGCTCCTAAAAATATCCTTTGAGATTCTCAATGCCTTCTCTCTAACCTCTTCTACTGACTAGATGCAGTGGATCCAGTGGAAGACTCTGAGGTCCTACTGGACGATGGATCCACTCCTGCATTCCTGCATGACTAAATGAAACAGAGTCTACCGTCCCCCCTCCCCCACCTTGTTCTTCTTCCACCGACTAGTATTGCACTGTGGCATGCATTAAAGATAAACGTTATTGTGCTAAACCTCTGAGTAACTGTAGATATTGGTGAGAGTAGTTAGCCCACCCTAATTATAACTTTCCTTCATGTTCTTTTTGGATTCATCTTGCCTGTTCCGGGCCTTTCTGCAAGGTTTTCAGAGTCACTGTATAAAATCCCTCAGAGTCCTGTGAGAATTATAATTGGAGTTATATTGTATTTATGGATTAATTTGGGAAGAATTTTTGTCTTTATATTGTGGATACTATACTATCATATGTCCATTTAGTCAGGTCTTTTATGCACATTGATAAATTTTATTGTTTTTCTTCTTTAAGTTATTATATGTCTTTTATTGGTTTCTATTGGAATTTATTGTAATATGTTGGAATTTATTGGTAAGGTAAATATGATTTTCTGATTACATTATCTAATTTATTATTTATACTTTAAAAGATCACTATTGACTGATCTTATGTTCGACAACCCATTGAACCCTTTCTTAGTTATAATAATCGTAGGTTCTAAATTTTCTATGTGGATAATATAACATCTACAAATAATGAAATATTATTTATTTCCTGATTCTAACATCTTATTCATATTTTTTGTATTGCATTAGCTAAGACTTTCCTATCCTCTAATTGTTTGTAATTTTAAAAGAAAGCAGAGCCCTGGCCAAGTGGCTCAGTTGATTGGAGCATCGTCCCACACACCACAACGTTGTACCTAGGCTGTGGAACCTATCCTCAGTCAGAAAGCATACAGGGAAACAACAATTTATGTTTCTCTCTCAAACCGATGTTCCTCTCTCTCCCTTCCTCTCTCTGTCTAAAAGATCAGTGAGTATATCCTCAGGTGAGGATTAAAAATAATAATAAAGTAAATAAAAAAATAAGAAAACAAAAGATAAAAGCTTGCAGTTTCACATTTTTAAGTCTTTAATCTATCTAAGCTTGATATTTTTATTCCTATATTCTAACAGGAAACTATAGGTTTTGTATGTTTATCTTATTCACCTTCTTGAACTCTTATATTAATTCCAATGTAATTGTAGTCTCTTTAATGTTATTTTTCTAGATAGACAATTCTGGTGACAGCTCTCTACTTGGCTTGTGGATGACTGCCTTCTTGCTGTGCCCTCACATAGTTAGGAGAAAGAGCTCTTCTTATAAGGGCGCCAGTCCTATTAAATGAGGGTCCAACCCTTACGGCCTCATTTTGCTTTTACCATAGGTGTCCACGTACAGTCATATTGAAGGTTAGGGCTTCAATATAAGAATTTTGAGAACACCAACACTCAGTCCATAGCAGGTTGTATTTCGAATAACTGCCAAGGTTTTTTGTTTGTTTATTTCATTTTCTCTTTTTATCTATGTTAGTAGATTTTTAAATGTTTACTTTGGTATATATTCTTGGAATAAACTTTGGCCACTCTGAAAGCAACAAATACAATAATAGTGGTGAATTGTATTGAGTCACCATTCTTAGAGAAGCCAGAATTGTATCTCCCAGAATTCTCTTCCCTGTATTGTTCCACTTCAGTGTTGGCTATAAGAACTAATGTGAGATTTGGAAGAAAAAGTGAAGCAGCTCTGAATGGTACCAGGCACAGAGTATCAACTTGACCCACAGCTTCTCTGAGCCTCAGGTCAGGAATGAGTTCATCTGCATGGAGATTGGTACCATTTTGTTCTAAAGGTCATCCATGTCATTGAGCTTGGAAGTGGTGAGATAAGGTAGGATTCCATTTGTCCTCATTAGTTCTAGTTTGCCTTTAGGGGTTTCAGTTTGTGTTTGCTCTTCTGTATTTCATACCAGTTCTGAGTATAAGTCAGGCTGACCTATAGCAATTTTAGGCTCCCCTCCACACACAGAGTCAATAACCTTCTAGAGGACTCTTTATAAACTCTCTGAAATATATGAAGTCTAATCCCTATAATTAATCTCTTATACCATATCTCTTATGGGATTCCCAGTGGTTCTGCTTTCCAGATCTTATTGTAGCTGATACAAAAACATATAATCTATAGATTTATGAACAAAATACAAATTCCTTTGCATAGCATATAAAACCTTTAGCCAGTTTTTTATCCAATATCTTGTCCTGTCTTCCTTCATATCTATTGTCCCATCATCTGAACAAACTTGTTGCTTATTACATATGGTGTAGTATTTTATTTTATTTTAAATGGGAAACCTGTATGTGGAGGGTGTAGTATACAAAGGCCATTTTTAAAAATGATTTTATTTATTTTTAGAGAGAGAGGAAGGAAGCAAGAAAGAGGGAGAGAAACATCAATGTGAGAGAGAAATATCAATTGGTTGCCTCTGGTATGTGCCTGGACCTGAGACTGAACCTGAAACCAGGCATGTGCCCCGACTGGGTATCAAAATGGTGACGATTCGATTTGCAGGACATCACCCAATCAACTGAGCCACCCCCGTCAGGACTGTTATGAGCATTTTTGTAGTTGTCTTTTGGTACACACATTATAGCACTTTTTATATCCTTCAATTTAAACAAATTTGCATTATATTTACCACACTAGCACGAGTTCCCTGAGAGGCTTTGTACCCTCAGTGTCAATTACATCATCGAGGACATAGCAGGATTTTTTAAATGTTCGTAAAGGAAAGAGCACCTAAAAGACTCCTTTTAAAGTTATTTAATATTTATCCCATTGTATTTTTTAAAACCTGTAAATGTCCTATTTTACCTTTCTTTTTTTTTAAGATTTTATTTATTTTTAGAGAGAGGAGAAGGGAGGAAGAGAGGGAGAGAAACATCAGTGTGTGGTTGCCTCTCGCATGCCCCCAACCAACCCTTTGGTTCCCAGGTCAGTACTCAATCCACTGAGCCACACCAGCCAGGGCCTATTTTATCTTCCTTATGGTCATGTGTAAGAAGCAGGCCTATCCTTAGCAAGAATGTATTATTAATTGTGGTGATGATTTTGTAATATGTACAAATATTGAATCATTATGTTGTATGCCTGAAACTAATACAATGGTATATGTCAATTATATCTCAATAAAAATGCTTCATATTAGGCACTGTACTGAAAGTGTCACAGGTGGGCACAGGTCACCAAGTTCTTAGTGACTGGGACAAAGAATTGAACTGAACACACAGAGTTTATAGCAGAGAACATGGGAGCAGGCCAACTTCAAGCAGAGATTGACCTCATGGGCTGGAGGGACTCTATTCTTATAGGGCAGATCCTTCCTGGCTAGTTTTGGTGGGCTTTTACTGAGTATGTACAAGTAGTTGTGTTACAGAACAGAACAAGGGGGGCCTGAGACAATATACTATTATTGAAAGAAGGCCCCGGGTCCGTTATGTCCACCGCCCTAGGAAAGACGTCTCTCAATGCCAGAGATTCGTGAAAAGGAAAGGAAATGTTTATTTAATGCTATACAAACTTAAAGTAGTGACCTAATGTCTTTATCAAAAATCCCAAAGTCCCTTAAAACACCCACAAACACAGTCACAGTCCTTCCTTCCTTCCCCCTTTGCCCAGTCCAGAGTACCGTATCTCAGGAAAGGAAATAAAAGTCCATGGCTCAGACAGTCCTCTGGTTCTTAGTTAGTCCTCCATCTCGACTGGGAGACCTCCCTGGGTACCTGGCACCCTCTGCTGAGTCGCCGGGATCTCTGCTAAAACCAGGTGGTGGTTCCCCTTCTAAAGCTGTGGGGGTCCCCGCTCTGTCCAGGCCTCGTGGTTCTCCCTCTCAGGGCTGCGGGAGTCTCCACTCTGTCAAGGCCGCGTGGTTTTCTCTCCTAAAGCAGCACGGTTCTCTCTCAGGGCTGCGCATGGTTCACCTCCTCAGGGCTGCGCATGGCTCTCCACTCTGTTAAAGACGCATG